TAAAAAAAAAACTTATTAAATATTACTCAATGGTAAATTATCCCACTTACAAATAAATTTTACATATCATAATTATAAATTTTAATTATTCATCTCTTTATTTTTAATTATTAAAATTTATTATGACTTTTTAAATGAAAAAACTAATTATCATTAACAATTATGATAAAAAATGGAAATAAATCTCAATTATTTAAAGTAAAAAAGATAAATAAATAAAATTGTATATAAATAAATCATAACTCTAATTAAGTTTATTAAATGAGTTTCATGTTTCTCCGGCCAAAACTATATTAGATTAGAAAACATATACTTTTAAATTGATAAAGAGGGTTCAATATCAAGGGAACCTCCTTCAATCCAAGAGTAATTATTTTGCAATTTTGTACTGTCTATATTACAAAATAATTTTTTGCTATTAAATAGGTATTTTTAATCTAAATAAAAATTTTTGTTAATGCCTAAATCCACCCTTAAAGTTAGATAGTACTGACAGATCATTTCTGAACAAAAAATAAAGACAAATTCACCAACAAAATTTTTTATTTAAAAAAATTACCTCAAATTTAATATATGGCATTAGCTAACATCAACAATCTATTAATTTGTTATGTCATTAATAAATTCATTATTAACAAATTGCTAATATCAAATGACCTCACACATTAAATTTCGAGTGATTTACCAAGGTCCAAAATTTTATGATTAAATTCATTCTTTTCTTTTTTGATTTTTAGAAGAGAATCTATCCTTTCTACTTAATTTTAAGAGTAGATTTGAGTATTTTCCCTAAAAATTTCCAAAAGCACAAATAAATTAAGAGAGAGAGAATTATAATCGGTTTCTTTTTTTGTTTTAGTAAGCAATTATGGGATTAGATGTAGAAGGAAATGTCATTGATCGAGCTCGAACTAGCAAGCCTCGAGTAATCAACTCCTAAGAGAGTCCAACGTTGTCATTGTGCTATAAGTTATTACTTTGTGGATTTGATAAACTAAGTGTCTCATTTCCCATTAATTTGTGATAATATAATATAACATACATACATATATAAATATTTAGCATTCTAAGTCATCTGTGGGAACTGTATAGTACAAGCATGGCGGCGGCAGGTGAAACTAGTACTTATTTTTGTTGTAAATGAGTTAAGAGTACCATTGGACTCGTTTAAATAAAATTTCATGAATTGTTGTAAAAAGATAATAAAAAGGAAGGAGGAGTAGAAGTACAGGCGTGGAGGATTGCGTGTTGACACGAAAGCCCAAGTTGGGGGAATATGCTAGGGATGGATTCTTATCTCGTGTGGATGCCATATCAGTTTTTGGCTTTATGACTCAGAACCATTAGTATTTTCCTTTTTCATTTAATGATGTATTGTATGTACAAGAGATGAATATCTTCTTTTTTAAATTCCTTATCCTCTAGGCCTAGCAAACGGGCGGGTTGGGTCCGGTTATGGTCGGGTCAGAACAGGTAACGGGTCAAAACGGATTGGGTTAAAACAGGTCACGGGTCAATGAAGGTAGACCCTAACCCGCCCATCACGAGTCACGAGTCAACCCGCGAGTTGACCCAATTAAATTTGTTTTCTTTTTTTTTCTCTATAATTTGTACCTATCATCATTCAAAGAAAATTATTCAAAAGATTTAAAAAAGAAATTCAACATCTTATAAAAATAATTTTTTTTCATTAATTTAATATATACATATTTATAGTTTCTCAAAATCACTTTATTTATTTCCCTTCAAAGAACAGCGCTAACTAAATTTAAGAACACTACACTTATAAATCTCAATAGCAAAAAAAAAAAAAAAAAAGCAATAGTAGCATGACAACCAAAAAACACAAACTCCATCGGAACATATTTGTTTTGGTCATTACTTTCAAGGAATAATCAATTGAATGCATCTAAGTAAGCAAAGGAGAAAATCAAGTAAAATTTTTACTTGGAATGGAAAGAAAACTAAAAAGCATAAATAAGTAAACAACTTACCTTGAAATATTTAGAGAGAAAAGTTGGTGACAAAAAGAGCACTTGCCAAACTCATAGGAGAAAAAAAGAAATGGCTGAGTGGACGCAACGGTGACTCGATAAGATTAAAATCTAAATCTAAGATAATGTTAAAGACTAAAGAGAAAAGGTGGAGTTGAAGGTTAAAAGTCAAATGTTGTATGAACTATGGAGGTTGAAGAATATGAGAAGAATTTGAAGTTTGAAGAGTTAGAGTCTTCGAGAGTATTAAGGCAAGCAAGAATAGGAAAGGTTGGGAGGTGAGTTAGGAGTGGAGTAGGATTATTTTTACTTCTAGAAGATGATGAGTCAAAAGAATCGATTAGTTAATTATGGAATATTAGTCAATTATTAGAGGTTTAGGTGCGATTGAGAATTGAAAAACAAAATAAATAAATAATAAATTAAAAAATTTTATATTTTTAAACGGGTAAACGGGTCAAACCCGTTAACCCGATGGGTCAACCCGTTATTGACCCATGACCCGTCGGGTTCTCTTAACGGGTCATTAACGGGTTACGGGTCATAAATATATAACCCTAACCCGTTTTAAACGGGCGGGTAATGGGCGGGTTAACAGGTTGGGTAAAAAATTGCCAGGTCTATTATCCTCTCATTCATATTAAGATTTGAATTCAAGATTCATATAAAAAAAATTAAGTTTTTAACAACTTGAACCTCCTATAGCTAATTGGTGGTCAACTAGCCCTATATCAAGTATTATTTAAAAGGACATTAATTGGTATATAATTTGATTCAACATATTATATAATAAATTTATTAAAAAATTATTTTTTTCATTGAAATTAAAAAACAAATAAATTTAAAAATACAATTATGTATATAAAATGTAGGAACTGATTGAATCAGCTATGTTTTTATTATATTTTAAAAATTAAACTAAGACAAATGTAAAAAAGTATATTAAATTGAATGTGCATTAATCATTTTCTTATTAAAAACGTTCAGGGACTATTTGAGAATAGGAAAAAGTTCAGGACCAAAGTCAGACCAAATTAAAAAGTTTAGGACCAATCTATCCTTTTTCTTTCTCTTTTTTAATAGCAAACGGACCAAAGCCCAATTACATCTGAAAGCCAGGTGGGGCAATATAGGGCGGGTACCGTGCAACTTGGGCCTTGGGTTTTTTTAAATAGTTCCTGATTTTGGAACATTGCTGCAAATAACTATAACAAACTAACAATAAGGTATAGATTTAAGGATACAATTAATATATTTT